ACACACACACATTAAGTTTAGGCACATGTTTGTCACCATCACTCCATGCTGTAAAAAAAAATAGTGAAGAGACCAACAAAAGTGACAATGTTGCAATAGAATCCGTCAAATAACTTGTATTTTTATCCAATCTGATAAATAATATATGTCAGAATTGAAAAAAAAATAAAATTAAAAAGCTCAAGTTCTCTATATTACGTGCTAGGTCATTGATTCCGTCAACCACGCCATGAATTGTGGGAGACACTATAGTCGATTCTTGAGTTGTGCCATCAATTCCATTAAATGGATGAAGAAAAAAGGTGGAATGCCTAATTTGAAACAGTAGAGAAAGTTGGGTGAATGAAATACTATAAGTTCAATGACTAACCATACTTTTAGGCCAATTTAAAAATCTTTCTTAAACTAGTGAGCTATTTTCCTCTATGGTCATTGAACTCTCACCAAAAATCTTAATTGGGCAACTGAAATTCAATTTAGGCATTTTTGAGAAGTGTTTATAATTAGTTTAAATAATAAATAGATAGAAATTAGTGGTGAATAAGTGTGTAGCATTTATGAGTCACGAAATGTAAAAATAAAATGTGATTTCACTAATTATGAATAATTTATAAAACATTAGACAAATATGGACATACTTTAGTTGGATCGCAGAATTTTATTCGATTTCAAATTTTATCACTTTAACACTGATGTCTCCTATAAAACGAATCTTCCATTTAATCATTGTGTGACCTGTCAACTTATCAAACATAATGTCATAAAATTGTAAAAATGAAAAACACTTCTTTTAACGTATTAATCTTAAAAATATTATCATACTGCTCATTTTTTCACTTTCGTTTTTCTAGGACTACATTGCAATTACATGGAAGATCGCCACATTATGATTGACAACTAATTTTTTTTTTTTTTTTTATGTACATATGGACGATGATAGGTAATGCAATGTGACATGAAATTTGAAAATAACTTGAAGTTCAATGACCAAATTAAGACAAATTAATTTTTAATTGCCTACTTGGGATTTTGCTTAAAGTTTGGCCACCCCTGATGAAATTTACCCAAAATTGGTCAATTCAGAGCCAGTTGGCATTGCATCATCAAAAATTCAAATAAAAGAAAAAAAGATAAAACAGAACTAAGACAAAGTCTACGTTTGATCAGTACTAACTACCAAACAACTAAAACGAGAAAGAAAAAAAGATAGCGCCGTGATTTCCTTCCCCACCATTTTCCTTTCCTTTTCCTCCGCTCTGAAAAATTCATTTTCTTTATTTTCCATCCCATTTTCAATTCTATCATTCCTTTCTCTCCCGGGATTTCAGCATCAATTCGCCTGTTTTTTATTTGAAGGTAACATATTTATGTTGTTTTGGTTTTTAACAGAATACACGCATACGTTTGCGTAACCATATACTTATGATCCTTTGGTGGGTTTTTAACATCTGATTTCCACTTTTTGATTTTATATTTTGGTTAGTGTAAAAAAAATTTGATGAAATTCTTGGTGCATATTTTACATGTTTGCTTAATATGTCAGTTTAATAGCTTGCATGCTCGTTTGTTGTTATTGGGCTCGAAATATTCAGCTTAATTAAGTAAATTTTCTTGATTCTTATGGGTTGTTTTCCTCCGCGTGCTAATAAGAGAGGGAAATTAAATTATGATATATCTGAAGAAGAGATAACTTGATTCCCTACAAGTTTAATATGTGCAATCTTTTTGTCAGCTAATTGAGAAAAAGTCAGGCATATGTGCAGCAGCTATACCCCCATATGCAACAAAAACTACCAGTTTTGAATGACAAATTTGGTAGTCTTGTCACTTGTTTACCATGCTTGCTCCTGATAGGTCTTTCTAAATATTTTACTTTTGATTTCCCAGGTTAAACACTACCTGCAAATGATGAAATTCGATAGAGATGACTAAGTTGCTGCGACAAATAATTGTTTTTCTGATGTTCAGAATCAACTGGAGAAAATTGTTTTTAATTGGTTCAGTTCTTACAATAAGTAGTGTTATGATACAAATTTCTACACTTCCTTACCCAATGAAAGAATGGATTTTCCCACCTCCCGCAGCATTTTCATCATTTAAACCTTTGAACACTACTATATTGGGTTACCGTTTTGAATCCGTTCATAATGCCCCTGTGATTGTTTCATTCAATTCTTCCACCAAAGTCGATGAATTAGTACTAGAAACCGAGGAGGCAGAAAAAGATGTTAGGAGGAGAATGCAAAGAACCGATAAAAAATCAACAAGTAAAGTTTCTCCACCACTTTCACTTCCACCTGTCAAAAACATGTCTAATCACTTGCTGGTAAGTTCCTAATTGTTTTGATATTTCAAGTTCCCGTGTTATTTTAATTCCTTAGATCCATTTCACTATTTGCAGAGATACCTATCATCTTTGACACCAGATGAGGCCCTTGCATTTGCTAAAAGAGCGACTGAAAATGCCCCACCGGTTGGTGATGATCCAGAACTGTATGCCCCCTTATTCCAGAATGTTTCTACTTTCAAAAGGTATCTGATAATCTTTTGTTTTGCTAATATAGTATAGTGCATCTTGTAAGAAACTAGTAACTTGTTAAGCAATGAATGGAGTACATACTTGTGTTACTAGTCTCTAAAACTGATGGTATAGGTAACTTGAGATATATTCCAGATATGACTTGAAGTTTATGAATTGGGAGGAAGATATTGATGATATACAAGATAATTCCATGCTGGTTGTGGGAGCATATTTTAAACTGAATAACATATTCTCACGTTTAAGATTCATTATTTATGCGCAAGGAACAGTCCGTAATCAGAACATTTAACTTTAGTAGTATCACGAATTCTAATGTTATGGCTTAATAAAATTCATAATACTACCACAGTCCTAATATAATTGATGAGAGGAGCTTTAAGAAGATTTAACTAGTTATTGTCATATCAAGCACATTTTTTCTATTATGATTGCATTAAAAACAATCCATAGAAAATGGATTATGATAAATGTTGAGAAACTAGTAGAGCTGGGATATGTAAAATATAGGATCTAGTTTGATGTATAAAAAGGTGAGTTCATTTGATAATCTAAGGAGAATGGTTATTGTGGAATGTATTGTGCAAAAATTGCTGTCATAGAATCTAGTATTATATCGTATTTATGCATTCATGTATATATTCATGGAGTTAATTGAGCAAATTACTGCTGTTACTTTGTGTATAGCAATGTGCCGGTGTCTGTCATAAAATTATCAATAGGCATCAAGACTTAATCATTTGCTTCGCCCAAAAAGCACAGTATTTTTCTTATATCAACTTTTAGGCTTCAAAAATGAAAAAAAAAATCAACTTTTTTCTACATTTCTTATTGAGATCCATTTTTTATTTATATTACTCTGATGAATGAAAGCAACTATTTTTTCTAATTGCGATTGATGCACTTTTCCTTTCCCGGTAAACTAACAAGCCCTGAAACTTATGTATTGTTGAAGAAGACTCTGTTCCTTTTTCTCCTCCGATGATGTGTGAGCTATGATTGAAAGGTCCAAAGAACGTTTATATCCATGTCCACTATTTGATATACTGCTTATGAAAATTGTGGGATGAACAGTTCTCCAATTTTTACACCCAACTTCTCTTAAAGCATATATTTTAACTTTTCGGGATACTAATGAAATTTCAGGAGCTACGGGTTGATGGAAAGGATACTAAAAGTTTACATTTACCAAGAAGGAAAAAGACCCATTTTCCACCAGCCTTATCTCAGAGGAATTTACTCATCTGAAGGATGGTTTATGAAGTTGATGGAAGAAAACAGGAAATTTGTAACAAAGGACCCAGAAAAGGCTCACTTGTTCTATCTTCCATATAGTGCACGCCAGTTACAGAAGGCTCTCTACGTCCCTGACTCACATGATCTAAAACCATTGTCAATCATTCTTAAAGACTATGTGAATATGCTTGCCGCAAAGTATCCTTTCTGGAACCGCACTCACGGATCAAATCATTTTCTCGTATCTTGTCATGATTGGGTATGGTAGCTCTATGACATGTAAATACATGTGCTAAACATTACTAGCTTCTTATTTACACTACCCTGTGCACGTAATTTTACTATCCCAGAGAGAGTAGTCATTTTAATTTGAAATTTCATCTCCCATTTGTTCTCTTAATCTTTATTAGTTCCATTTATTTTAGATTAATCTCCCATTTTCGCTCAACTCATGTTTTTTTCCATTATTGCTTAAAGGGACCATATATTTTGAAGGAGCACGAGGAGCTTCAAAGAAACACTATAAAAGCTCTCTGCAATGCAGATGTCTCAGAAGGAGTCTTTATTGCTGGAAAGGATGTTTCCTTGCCAGAAACTACTATAAGAAATCCCAGAAAGCCTCTTAGAAATCTTGGTGGAAAAAGAGTGTCACAGCGCCCAATTCTTGCCTTTTATGCAGGACACATGCATGGCAGGGTTCGTCCCGTACTTCTCAAGTACTGGAAAGACAAAGACGAAGACATGAGGATCCATGGACCTTTATCCAATAGAATAACAAGAGTAATGTCTTATCCTGAACACATGAAATCAAGCAAATATTGCATTTGCCCAATGGGCTACGAAGTCAATAGCCCAAGGATTGTTGAGGCCATCTATTACGAGTGTGTCCCAGTTATTATTGCTGATCATTTTGTCCCTCCGTTTAACGAAGTGCTTAATTGGAGTGCATTTTCTGTCATTGTTGCCGAAAAGGATATCGCAAAGCTTAAGGAGATACTCTTATCCATTCCTTTGAAGAAATATCGTTCCATGCAAACCAATGTGAAAATGTTGCAGAAGCATTTCCACTGGAATGCAAGACCTGTTAGATATGATCTGTTCCACATGATTCTACATTCCATTTGGTCCAGTAGGCTTAACCAGATTCAGGTACCAGGGTCATCATAAATGTGTTTGTTCTTTGGGTTTCCTGCTGGAGGTATAGTCAGTTTAAGATGTGACTGAATAGAAGTTGTTCATTCTTTAAGGCTAATATTGGTACAACATTCAAAGAGCATATTGACTTGTGGCTAGATCGCACGGATTTGGGTCCCAATTCACTCCTGTAAAAAAGAATGTGCATTGGAAGAGAAGTTGATCAATCAATTCAGAAACTTACTGCCTGATTTGTGGCATGGAAGGATGGTCAACATTCCTTATTTTCCTTCCCAAATCCTGCATCTATACAGCTTTCTTTATTTCTGCAATCACTTGAAGAATTTCAGGTATAAGTACTTGCCTCAGCCATATAGTTGACAGAAAATAAATCAACGCTTTGAGATCTAACGATAACGATCCATTCATCTGCAGCAGTATTAATTATACTGATCAGTAATTTGTGGAGTCACTGGATCGTACATCCAGAAGTAGAAGTGATGGTGAAGATCATTCTCCGTTCATGGCATTTCAGAGCTCTATCATTCATGCTTTGTACAGTTAAATATCTGAGTTGTATAATTATGTGCAACAAGAGTAAAATTTTCTGTATTTTATCGGGCAGACTTTATGGTGTAAATGTTATGTGGTCGACATTTTTTCTTCTCATCTTTGGGTACGAGTGAATGTGTCCATTTTGAACAGAAATGTACAAATGGAGTCGAGAATACACATACTGGATTTGCTTGATTACTCTATAGATTATATATAGATTATGGTTTTATATGTAGTTAACGGAGATTGTGGATCCTATGATAGAACATCTAGTTGCATTAGCCATATGGTGACGCCAAATTCCTTTCAAAAATCTAAATGTTTGAGAATCTTTAAATAGAATAACTTAGCAAAGGTAGGTTGTGTAACGGGGGAGGAGTTGAGATATCCTGTCCAACTTTTGCGGTCTAATTTGCTATCCACCCAATTAATTATTAACACATGATTTTAAATTAAAACGTCACCGATTTGGTGGATTAGTGGTGAAGTTAATAAGGGTAAATTTAAGATGACATGTTAATTTAAAAATAATGTGCCAATAATTAGTCCCTGTTTAGTAACCATTTTTTTTTTTGGAAAAATATTGTTTTGAATAATGAATTTTTCGAAAATGTATAGTTAAAAATTGAGAAAAAAAAATTAAGTTTACTTGTAGAATATTTGATTGTATGAATGTGTGATTAAAAATAAGATCCTGTTTGGTATGAATTAAAATTCAAACTTTAAAACAAAATCAATAATTAATTTTAACCACATATTTTATGGTCTCACAATTTTTCAATCACACATTCCATTAATTGTTATCAAAATCTATTAAAATTTTGATTTTAATCCTTACAAAATAGGGGCTAAGTATGTAGCAAAAAATAGTTTAGAAAAAATGAGGGCAGACGATGGCTTAATTGGATGAAAAGTAAGTTGGATAGTAAAAATTGGACAGCTGTCAACTCATAACGGAGTCCTTCAACACTCAAGTTTGCCGATCCTCCACTAGGCAAAATAGGATATCTATCAAGGTTATGCAAGTGCTTTCACAGGCCTTTTGAGGCTTCTTACCAGTTTCTTAGTACTTGCAAGATGAACTAAATGAATTCCTTGGGCATTGCTTTTACTGGCATATTAAGGCTTCTTACCAGTTCTTTAATAATTGTGTAATGGAGCCCCTTTGACGCTCAAGTTAGCCTGACCTCAGCTAGTTTGAATATCTATCAGGGTTATACAAGTGCTTTCACGGGCTTATTGAGGCTCTTACCAGTTTCTTGATACTTGGAAGATGAACTTTGTGGAAATTTAGTCTCGAAAAAAATATATATGTATACTGAATTGGGATGATGTTTTCAAAATTAGTATATATTGCAGATCAATTTAATTGATTACGTCGATGCTTGTAACGGAATACCTAATTAGTGATTATTTCCATTGAGTTATCTCTAACTTTGAATCAACGGTCTTGATCTTCTTAAATTGCTTCTAACCCTTAAATCTTTTTTAGTATTCTCCAAATTTAGATTACACTTCATAAACGGGCACCAAGATTGATCAAGAACCCCAAACAAAAACCTAATAAAAAACAAAAGACATGTTATTAGTTTTCAAAGATTGAAAAATAATTCTGAATAATTCAGTTTTCAGGTCTTTAAATAAACTTGAACTAGTTTGTCTAAGAAGACTTGGGTCATTGTTCTATTTTAAAAAGTTGAAATTTGAGTTCTAAATCAACTAATATTCTTCCAAAGTATTTGGTAAAACTTACCATATGATCAGAAGAGACTAATTTTGACTTTTTGGACATGTTTGAGCTTCCTTTTATGTACAATGCATTTTTAATAGTAAAGTAATAAAGAATGTGTAGCTAAACATAAAGAAAAAGTTTTTGAGTTGTGTATTAATTATTTTATTGAAAAATTTGTGGCTCAAAAGAATAGATAAAGGGAAAAATTTATTTATCCTTCTTTATCTTTACCCTATTTCAAAAGTAACAAAACAATTTTCACATTTCAAAAATCAGATATTTTAATTTATACACACACACACACACACACACACACACATATATATATAAAATTTACCCAACCCCACAACCACCTCCACCACCCCTACCACTCCGGCGACATTCCGACGACTGCTCCGATTCCGACAATTCTCAGGCGACTACTTCATTCCGATGACTATTCCAATTACCGTTCCCGACGACTGCTCCAATTCCAGGCCACAGTCCAGATCACAACTCAAGTCACAATCCAATTCACAAGTCACAGTCCAGGTCACAGTTCAGGTCACAAGTCACAGTCCAGGTCACAGTTCAGGTCACAAGTCACAGTCCAGGTCACAGCTCAGGTCACAAGTCACAATTCAGGTCACAACTCAAAATTTTGTTCATAGTCACTGGTTATTTTCAAATGATCATAGCACGGGTTACAAAATATTTTTACACATGACTCAGATTAATATTTAGTCACAAATTGTCGAATTTTAAGGTCACGGTTAATCCATTATGCGGCTCCAATTGGTCACGAAACACAACACATATTCAAACAATTGCCGCCCGCACCTCACCACACCACCACAAGCACCCCACCATCGATCCCGATCCACCACTGTCACCACAGTCACCACCAAAACCACTGCCGCCTCCGACGACAACACTACCCCCTGAAACAAATCAACAGAAAAACACCACTGCACCGACCGCAAAGTACGAATCAAAAACCAAAAAACTCCCAAAATTTCAACCACCAAATAGATTAATTTAGTCACCACCAACATCTCACCTATCACCCAATGCTACGACCGCCACCGCCGACACCGTAAAGTACGAATCAAAAATCAAAATTTCAACCACCAGATAGATTAATGAAGTCCATGGAAAATTTCAACCACCAGATTGATTAATGAACTCCCAAAAGAAACAGTGCTTACAGATACAAAATTTCATCTCGTAATAAAGAATGCCATGGAGATGGTAGATTAATGATTAATGAAGTCCACCCATACACAGTAGATCTGTACGGTTTGGCACCCGAAGCAACCGATGGTGGTACTGCAATCGCCGCCGATAATCCTTCGCGACCTGCAGATGGCGCAGATCTACAGCGCCGTCGCCTAGTCGACCACAAATGGGCTGGGTCTATGTCGCCATGGTGTAGTACTGCAGTTGCCACCGATGAACTTCGCGATGCTGCTGCAAATTTGTATCTACCTATAAAACATCTGACTTTTGATAATAAAAACATGAAATCTGATTTTAGAATTTGGATTTTCAAAAGTAGGGAATTGTGTAATTTCTACATAGATAAAACTATATTTTTTAAAAAAAAATGGGGATCAAACAAGGTATTTAAGCCCTTTTTGAGCCTCGCTTTGGGGAAAATAACGTATTTTGGAATAGTATTTTTGGAGAATATGTGGTTAAAAATAAGTACATGTAAAATTATTTTATTTAAAATGCGTGATTGAAAATGAATTTTTGATAAAATTGGGATCAAACAAAGGCTTAATTAAAATTTGGGTTTGATATAAGTTCAACGTTGACCGGCATATATGTGCAACCCCTATACTTTAATTATACGTATAATTAAGTCCATCGACTTTCTCAAAGATACTAAAGGGACAAAATAGGGTCTACATAAATCGTGGTATAATAAATTATAATTGAACACAGAGTATCCAATTAGGTATGTCCAGTCCAATTATTGTTTTGAACTTGTTCCACTAAAGGTCCAAGATCGACCTCTCGAAATTTATAAAATCATATAAACAATTTTATTTCAATTTTCTGTAACTAAAATTCTCTATACTTGCTATCTTAATTCATTATCCTTGCTGGACATCAAATAATTAGTGATGAGCTAAATTAACTATTTTGTCCCTAGTGATTATTTTTCAAAGCTAACATTTTCTTCAATAGTTCTTTGGATTCAAATCGCAGTAACAATTTGACAATCTCCAAATACTAAGTTCAAATAAACTAATAAGAGGAAAATACTTAGGCTCTGTTTGATTGTAAGGGTGGAAAATAGGTGGAAAGAAAATGAATTCCAGGGAAAGTAATTGCCTAGAAATTGTTTTGTAGAGAATTGTTAATTAACAGTGTTTGATTGGTATAATTTTATGAGTGGAAAATTTTTAAATTTTATGTTCGTTTTGCTTAGTTTTACATGAAAATTGTCCATTAAAGTGATTTTTTTTTCCACGATTGGTTATAAAATTTATTTCTTTGCCAAAAAGTTTAAAAAAAAAATTCTAAAAAAATCATTTTTTTAATCAAAGTTTAGTATACGTTTGACTTTATTTTACATGAAAATTGTCTATTAAAATGAAATTTTTTTATAACTAGCTATGAAATTTGTTTTCATTACCAAAAAAAAAAAAATGCAGTAGCCACCTGGAAAAGCTTTTCCCGCCAAAGACCTAAAAACAAGGAAAGAGGGCGCGTGGAGTGGGGGGTGGAAAATTTTTGTTTGACCAAATTTCTCCCATCAAACACCTCTTTTGCATGGAAATGGGAAAGTTTTTCCATTTTCCAAGGAAAAAGTTGTGTGTCAAACACAACCTTAAGCTTATTATGTTACCCTTTGAACTGGGTGGTAAAACGCGAATAATTTTCTACTACTTCACTCTTTTCCGACTACCAACTTACCAATGTATACAGTGGCGGAGAGAGGGTGTGGGCTGCCCATCCTTGCCCAAGCTCAGCTTCTATAAAAAAAAAATTAGTTAAAGCCCATTTGTTCCCTCTATCTAACCCAATAGCCCACCGTACACTTCATTCCTGACTCCGTCCTTGAATGTATATGATTTGATAATTAGAACTCACTCATACATCAAAGAAATTAGAGTTCGCGAATAGCAACTATTTATCCATAACAGATTAAGGTAATTCACGAAATAGTCAACGTGGAATTT